TTTATTAAGAACTTCAATTTCTTTTCTTTTTCTTCCCTTTTTAATTTCATTTTCACATTTTTGTTTAAAAAAACAAAATTAAAAATAAAAACAAAATCTGATTTAAATCCAAAACTAAACTAATTGTTTTTCTCAAAAATTAATTAAGTCCTAATTCAAAAGAAAACTATGACGAATTCGAAAATTAAAAGTTAAAAAAAATGCAAAATGAACTATTTTTGTGATTTTCTTTCATTTTTGTAATATTAAATAACTAATTATCCTAAAAATAGAAAATTGGATCTTAAATGCAAATGCAATATATTTTTGTATTTTTCATGAATTACCTAAATTAAATATGCACACAAAAATGCAAACAAACACAAAATCATGCAATTAATTCCTAAAAATCAAATAATTAATTAAAAGAAAAATCCCAATTTTGGGAATTTTGTAGGAGCAAATCATGCGAGGCAAAAATCACGTGCTCACAGCTGCCCCTCTTTGCTCGAAGACACAAAGGATTTTCGGGCAAAGATAAAATGAGCAATTATGAGAGATTTTTGCCTGCTTGGCACTCCATGAGAAGTATTTTTGAAAAATGTCTGACCGAAGCTTGCTTCAGAGGTTGCCTACATATCCTTGGCTATAAAAGAATCAGGTCAGTGTAGTTCTGAAAGTTTTGGTAGCTGAGACTACCGGGAGCTGTGATTTTACTGCTGCTGCTGCCGCTACTGCTTGTTGACCTCCTTATTACACCAAAAAGAAAAATCAAAAGCTAAGCTAGCTAGGCCTATCAACTACAAGTTACTAGATTCCTATCTATAAATCTCTTGAAGCTTGATCTTGAGTCTTAGCTGACTTTGCTGTGGACTCCGATCTGAATCTTGATGCTCGTCAGCTGCGTGTGCTAGTTCTCTCTTCAGCTTTTGGATCAAAACGGGTCATACGAAGCCTGTGACTTCATCACATCATGAGCAGTCCTCATCTTTGTCCGCTTCGGCATTTGAATTCACTTCTTTTTGTTCTTTTCTTTATTTTGGATTGAGCCTCATTCTTTTGGTCATCTCGAACCCTGTGTCTCGATGTAACACCTGCTCAGACACCAAAACAAACAAACGAACGAAATTTTTCTACCCCAGTTTTCACTAGGAAACTTTCGTGAGTTATTTGCAACAAAATCTAAACTATTCCCTTTTTTTAAGGATTGCATCTATCTAGAAGGGAAAAGTTCAGGGGATGGAGCCCTATATCTAAAATGTCAACTCAGGAATTGAAGCCTGATGTTGGCGAAAAGGCAACTAGGGAATATATGCCCTATGTCTAAAAGGCTCAACTTAAGGATTGGAGCCCTAATATTGGCAAAAAGGCGATTAGGGAATGGAGACCCTATGTCTAAAAAGGCTCAACTCAGGGATTGGAGCCCTAAAGTTGGCAAAAAGGCGACCAGGGAATGGAGGCCCTATGTCTAAAAAGGCTCAACTTAGGGATTGGAGCCCTAATGTTGGCAAAAAGGTGACTAGGGAATGGAGGCCCTATGTCTAAAAAGGTTCAACTTAGGGATTGGAGCCCTAATGTTAGCAAAAATGCGACTAGGGAATGAAGGCCCTATGTCTAAAAGGGCTCAACTTAGGGATTGGAGCCCTAATGTTGGCAAAAAGGTGACTAGGGAATGGAGGCCCTATGTCTAAAAAGGCTCAACTCAGGGATTGGAGCCCTAATGTTGGCAAAAGGAGACTAGGAAATGGAGGCCCTATGTCTAAAAAGGCTCAACTCAGGGATTGGAGCCTTAAGGCTGTCAAAAAGGCGACTAGGAAATGAAGACCCTATGTCTAAAAAGTCTCAACTTAGGGATTGGAGCCCTAAGGTTGGCAAAATGGTGACTAGGGAACGGAGGCCCTATGTCTAAAGAGGCTCAACTCAGGGATTGGAGCCCTAAATGTTGGTAGAAGAGTAACAGATTGAGGTTGGGAATCTAAGCTATCATTTTGTTTGGATTTGCTTCTTTTTTTTATTTTTTTTATTTTCCTTTTTTTTCATTTCATTTTATTTCAATAAAATGCAGGAAAGAATTTTGGAGGAAAACTTTCCTTTTGTGTTGATTGTTACTGCGAAGCTGTTTTTAGCTTTTGCGCAAGTTTTCCTTTGGTTGCACCTGCTTTTGCATGGTTGCCTTGGGTTGCACCTGTTTCAATTTTTTCAAACAAACAACAATTGTTAGTTTTGAAACGGTGGTTGGTTTTGTGGCCTTGATGGTTTTGATCACTCGATCTCGGCCCAACTTTTGGTGAGAACCTCTGATGCTTGCTGGTTTTCTGAAGCTTGATCACTATTTCAAACCGAGGGACTCAACTTTTAAGATTTCATGACGACTCGCCCGCATGGGGCTTCGACCCTTTCACTTTATTCCGTCTTTAGGACTTTTGCCTTTGACTTTCTTTTTTTTTTCAATAATTTTGATTTCAAGGTATCAACCATCATGGCCAGTCGGGATCTACTTGATGCACCCGCTGAGGCTGTGTACTTTTCTTTAGCTTTTGTAAGGCAGAGCCCTGTAAAGCCAATCTTGCCACCTTTTCTTTGTATTAGTTTCGGAAACAGAGTTAGACCGAAAGGGATTCAAGGAAAAAGTAAACAAAAGGCAAGAAAAATGAATTTAAAGAGAAGTGTCTCTTTCGGGAAGGAAGGAAGGACTTATCTGGGGTGCACGCAGGCTTCAAATAGACATGACATGCTTCTTGGACTGGATGCCCGACCTGCATAAACTTTTCCAACTTCTCATAAACTCATTATGACCAGTGTTTCAAAACCAGGAAATCTTGCCAGGACTCTTTCAGTGGTGAGAGGCGTCTTCTTTTCGACCGACGACGCCCTTTGCGGGTTTTCGCCAATCGACCTCTCTCATTTCTCTTCTCACCGTCGTCCGATAATTCTCTTTACGAGTTTTCACTAAATGAGCTCTCTCGTTTTCAATTTCTCTACTCACCGTCGCCTTATGGTGCCCATAGGTTTTCACCGATAAGACTCTCTCATTTTATTTCTCTCAGTTTGATTATATCAGATCCCAACAACGGTGTTTTCTAATTCCGATGCCTTTGCCAATTGATCAGAAGGACTTGGACAAGTTTGGGTAAAAGAATCTGGATGGAATTACAACTTTAGAACCGTTCTGGTGGTCTGATTTCCGAACCATTATGACATTTGCCCCAGTTTCACTTTTTAGGGGAAACTGGGATTTTGTTTTGGTGTGACTGAACCCCAGAGAGAGGCTGCCTATGTATCCTTTCGGAATCAAGTCGAACGTAGTTCAGGGAAGCATTCTGTTTTGTTGTTGTTGTTGTTGTTGTTGTTGTTTTTGTTTTTTTTTATAACACTTTACGGTTCCAAAGAGGGTAATCAAAGAAGAGTAGCCGGCTAAAATGGGTTTGCAAAGGGTGGATAGTGTTTGGGTAGTGAGAATGAAAGCCTTCGTCATCCTAATCGGACAAGGTTGTCGGTGCAGAAAACCTAAACATAGTACCTTTTGACTGCATCCACATTTACAGCTGCTTCGGGATCATTCCCTTCGATATCGCCCAGATACAATGCCCCTTTTGGCAATATCTTTCTGATGATGTATGGGCCCTTCCAATTAGGAGCAAATTTTCCTTTTGCTTCCTGGTGATGGGGAAGAATACGCCTTAAAACGAGTTGCCCCACTTCAAAATTTCTAGGCAGCACTTTCTTGTTGTAGGCACGGGCCATTCTTTGTTGGTACAACTGCCCGTGGCAGACCGCGGCCATTTGCTTTTCATTGATCAAGGTTAACTGTTCCAGACGGGTTTTAACCCACTCACTGTTTTCAATTTTAGCTTCAACGATGATCCGGAGAGAGGGGATTTCAACCTCTGCGGGTATTACAACTTCAGTGCTATAAACCAAAAGATTCGGAGTGGCTCCAATTGACGTGCGCACAGTAGTGCGATATCCCAACAATGCAAACGACAGCTTTTCATGCCACTTCCTGGAACTTTGAATCATCTTTCTCAGAATCTTTTTGATGTTTTTGTTTGCTGTTTCGACGGCACCATTGGCTTTGGGCCGATAAGGAGTAGAGTTCCGGTGCATTATCTTGAATTGCTCACATATCTCTCCCATCAAATGACTATTCAAGTTTGCAGCATTGTCTGTGATAATAGTTGCAGGAATGCCAAAACGGCAGATAAGATTGGAGTGCACGAAATCTACCACAACTTTCTTGGTGACGGATTTGAGAGTGATGGCTTCAACCCATTTCGTGAAGTAGTCAATGGCAACTAGTATGAATTTGTGCCCATTTGAGGCTTTCGGCTCGATTGGCCCAATGACATCCATACCCCAAGCAACAAATGGCCAAGGTGCTGACATGGGATGCAGTTCTGTGGGAGGTGCATGAATCAATTCACCATGAACCTGACACTGATGACACTTCCGGACAAAGCTAAAACAGTCCTTTTCCATGGTTATCCAGTAATAGCCCGCTCGAAGGATTTTCTTTGCTAAAACATACCCGTTCATATGGGGTCCGCATACTCCCGTGTGTACCTCATGCACGATTCTTCCAGCCTCTTCTACATCAACACATCTTAACAAGTTGAGGTCCGGAGTTCTCTTGTACAAGACATCATCACTCAAAAAGAAACCACTTACGTGCCGCCTAATGGTTCTCTTCTGGTCTCCACTGGCTTGCTCGGGGTATTCTTGCATTTTCAAAAACCTTTTGATGTCATGATACCATGGTTGGGTATTTGGTGTTGTTTCAATCGTATTACAATAACCATGCCTTTCCCGGATTTGGATTTCCAAGGGATTAATGTGGGCATTGCCTGGGTATGGCAGCATTGAGGCTAAAGTGGCAAGTGCATCAACTAGTTCATTGTGGCAACGAGGAGTGTACCTGAACTCTATTGACTTGAATCGCTTGCCAAGTTCTTTCACATGTTTCCTATAAAGAATAAACTTGACGTCTCGGGTTTCCCATTCTTCTTAAGCTTGTCGGATAATCAAATATCTCTCATGATTAACAGTTCTTTGACATCTAGGTCGATTGCCATGTTCATACCTATAATGCAAGCTTCGTACTCGGCAGTGTTGTTTGTGTAGAAAAACCGAAGCCTAGCAGTGGCCGGGTAATGCTGGCCAGTGGGCAAGATCAAGATTGCCCCAATTCCAACACCTTTTGCATTTACCGCTCCATAGAAGAACATTGTCCAAGCATTGATGTCTTCGGATATTGCCTCAACTGAGTTTACCTCTTCATCCGGGAAGTAAGTATTCAAAGGTTGGTATTCATCATCGACCGGATTTTCAGCCAAGTGATCTGCTAACGCCTGGGCTTTCATTGCCGTGCGAGTGACACATACTATGTCGAATTCAATAAGCAGGATCTGCCATTTTGCTAGCCTCCCAATGGGCATTGGCTTCTGGAATATGTATTTTAAAGGATCCAACCTGGTTATGAGGTAAGTGGTGTAGGCTTGCAAATAATGCCTCAGCTTCTGAGCGACCCTAGTCAAAGTGCAGCAAGTTCTTTCCAACAAAGTGTACTTGGCTTCATAACTAGTGAATTTCTTGCTCAGATAGTAAATGGCATGCTCTCTCTTTCCGGTCACATCATGTTGCCCGAGGACGCAGCCGAAAGAATTTTCTAAGACTGTCAGGTACAAGAACAAAGGCCTCCCTGGCTCAGGTGGGACCAAGACTGGCGGGTTTGACAAATATTCCTTGATTTTATCAAAAGCTTCTTGACATTCCTCTGTCCACTTAACTACCACGTCATTCATCAGCAATTTGAATATGGGTTCACATGTGGATGTCAACTGGGCAATGAACCGGCTGATGTAGTTCAATATACCCAACAAACTCATAACATCCTTCTTGGTTTTCGGAGGAGGCAAATCTCGAATAGACTTTATCTTTGTTGGGTCTAACTCGATGCCCCTCCGACTAACGATGAATCCTAGGAGTTTGCCGGATGGTACCCCAAATGCACATTTGGCTGGGTTCAGCTTCAAATCATATTTGCGTAGCCGCTCAAAGAACTTTATCAAGCCTCGAACATGGTCGTCCTAGGTTTTGGATTTGATGATTACATCATCCACATACACCTTTATCTCTTGGTGCATCATATCGTGAAAAATGGTAGTCATGGCCCTCATATAGGTTGCCCCGGCATTCTTCAGACCAAATGGCATGACTTTGTAATAGTATGTACCCCAAGATGTGGTAAAAGCTGTCTTCTCCGCATCTTCTTCATCCATCAACACCTGGTGATATCCTGCGTAACAATCCACGAAGGACTGTATCTCATGCTTGGCGCAGTTATCAATAAGGATGTGGATGTTCGGCAAAGGGAAGTTATCTTTAGGACTTGCCTTGTTTAAATCTCTATAATCCACACATACCCGGGTCTTCCCGTCTTTCTTTGGCACTGGGACTACATTAGCTAACCATGTGGTGTACCGGACCACTCGGATCACTCCCGCTTTTAACTGTTTCGAGACCTCTTCTTTGAACTTATCACTGATATCAATTTTAAATTTTCTTTGGTTTTGCTGGACTGGGGGACAATCTGGGTATGTGGGAAACTTGTGAACCACCAAATCAATACTCAGTCCTCCCATGTCATCATATGACCAAGCAAATACATCTTTGAATTCAAACAAGAGTTGGATCATTGCGTCCCGGGTTTTCTCATCTGCGTGAATGCTTATCTTGGTTTCCATGACTTCTTCAGAACTACCCAAATTAACCGGCTCGGTATCATTTAAGTTCGACTTAGGTTTATTCTCAAATTTTTCCAATTCTCGATTTATTTCCCTAAAAGCCTCCTCTTCATCGTACTCCGGTTCTTGGTTCATTATTTCACAGTTATACAGCGTGTTTGGATCTAGGCATGAAGTCTGCAAGCATGTCATGCTATTTAAAGCCGCATTATTAGAACTGAAAGAAGAAATAAAAGAGAAAAATAACAAAATCAGAAAGAAGAAAGATGAACGATGAAATATTGATTTCATTTCTTGGAATTTGAAGATAACAGGGTTTACATTGGAAAATTAAAAGACAAGAAACTAAAGAAAACATCCGAGTTACACCCTAAAATAACTCGTGATGCAGAAAAGGTGGCAGGACAGGTCTACCGAGTCTCCCGCCTGATTGGGAACGGCGTAGCCTTCCAATTTTGTAGCTTGGCGTTAGGTCCCATATACAGCACCTCAGCTGTGCTTGAGCCCTCCCCTGGCTGGACCATGTGGGTTTTATATAGTATCTTCCTCATTGCCCCACAGATCTCTTCAATCTCTTCGGCTGTGAAGGCCTCATCTTCTTCTTCCTCATGGTATTTCGGCTTGACAAATATTCTGTACAGATGCGGCACCGGCTGAGGCAAGACCCAACCATCATTCTTTCTATCATTTTCCCATCTTATATTAGCTAGAGTGGGTCGGAAGCCTATCCCAAAGAACTTTTCACTGGCGGTCAGGGTGACAGGTTCAGTTATTCCTTGAAATGATTTCTCGAGATCCTTCCCTAGTTTGAAGCCATGTCTGATCATTTCTTTGGCCACCATTATTGATGCATTAGAAAGAAAGGGTTGGGGGCAAGAGTTTCCCTCTTCGTACTAGTCAGCGACCACAATTTCAAAGGCCTGATAAACTATGTGCTCACTCCCTTCTCTCGCTCAAGACATGGGACTTCCCCGTGGACCACAATCTCTTGATCTTCATGCTCAAATTTTACCATCTGATGAAGGGTAGAATGTACAACCCCCGCTGCATGAATCCATGGCCTCCCCAAAATAAAATTGTAGGATGTGTCCATGTCCAGAACTTGGAAGGTTACTTTAAAATCTACTGGGCCTATGGTCAGAATCAGATCGATCTCTCCATTTGTGTCCCTCTTTATACCATCGAAAGCCCGTACACAGACATTGTTGGGTCGAATTCTTTCGATCCCGATTTCCATACGCTGTAGAGTTGAGAGTGGGAAGATGTCTACCCCAGAGCCTCCGTCCAACATAACCCTTTTCACATAGTACCCTTCGCATTTGACTGTCAGGTGCAGGGCTTTGTTATGTGCGGCCCTTTCTAGGGGCAAGTCATTTTTGCTGAAGGAAATATGGTTAATTGCAAAAAAACCTTTCTGCCATCCTCTCCAACTATTCTACAGAAGTCTCAACTGGCACATATGCTTCGTTAAGGGTCTTGGTCAATACCTTCTGATGTTCGGTGGAGTTCATCATCAAAGCCAACAAAGAGACTTGTTCGGGAAATTTTCGAAGCTGGTCGATCACCTCATAATCCACCATTTTCATCTTTTGAAAGAAGGTCTCCGCTTCTTCGGCACTCACGGGCTTCTTAGATGGGAAGCGTTTTCTAGTGGCATTGTTCACCTCTTCCAAATTAGAATACCTTTCAGCGGGGTTATTTTTTTGAACTTCTCCTAAGATTTCTTTGCCCTTATAGGTCACCACCATTTTGTTGTAGTTCCAGGGCACATCGGTAGGATCTGTCATGGGCTTCTATGGCACGCATCCAATAACCACGGGCTCACTCAGCCTTGGTGGATTAATTGGCCCCCGCATCACATAAGCTCCCTTGGGCACATACATTTGGGCTGCCTTGTTCAGCTCAAATCTCCTAGGAGGACTCAAAGTCATCTGCTTTTCTTTGCGGCTCCGAGGGACATAGAGAACAACATCTTTGGGAGGCGTTGCCCTAGTCCCCACTTCAACTTTCTTCTCTGATTTTGGAGGGGTGGTTTTGTTCTTTTTCTCCCCTTTGTCTTGCTTCGGGGCATCTTTTGGTTTCTTTTTTACGTCAGCAATGGCAATGATGGCCTTCAATGCCGGGTCAAATTCCTTATCCTCACAAATCATTCCGATTACCGGCCCGTTGTTGTGGGCTGACAGTAGGTTATTAGTCACATTGGGGACATCCTCATCCCTTAGCACTATCTTCCTTTGTTCTATCAAATTCTCCACTACTCTCTTCAGAGTCCAGCAATCATTAGTGTCGTGCCCTTCTACCCCTGAGTGATAGGCACATGGGGCACCAGCTCTGTAAGAGGGTGATGTTAGGTTTTGCCTAGTTTGAGGAACCAGCTGTAGCAGACCCATTTGGACAAGCGCTAGAAATAGACTGGAGTAGGATTCGCCGATTGGTGTGAAATTTGGCCTTTTAGGTGGTTCACGAGGGGGAAAATTGTTTTGTGGAGGACGGGGGTTGTAGTGGTTTTGGTAAGGAGGCTGGTTTCTAGTAAATAGAGCTTGGTTATGGTTGGCTTGCTACTGTGGACGGACATAAGGTTGAGCATTCATGACCGTGTATGAGTGAGGAGCATAAGCCATGTCTTGGTGGGGGTAATAGTGTTGCGGGGTCCTTTATGAGAAAAAGGATCTGGGAATACGGTGTTTTCTTGCACCCGACACTGCCATAGATGTTTCTTCCTTTTTTTTGCCCTTCGCCACTCCTCCAGACCCACCCTTAATGGCTTGGGAGGTAGCTCTGATGGTGGATTGGCTTAGAATTCGGCCCATTTTCAACCCATTTTCAACTATTTCGCCAATCTTGATGGCTTCAGCGAACGGTTTACCCATAGCAGACATCATATTTTGGAATTAGTCGGCTTCTTGAGCTTGGAGGAAAACTGTGACCATTTCGACCTCATCTATCGGAGGCTTTACCCTAGATGCCTGCTCACGCCATTTAACTGCGTACTCCCGGAAGCTTTCCGAGGATTTCTTTTTCAACTTTGTCAATGAGTTCCTATCTGGAGCAATATCAATGTTGTACTGGAACTGCCTGACAAAATCTCTAGCAAGATCATCCCAGATGTGCCAGCGGGATATATCCTGGTCCATATACCACTCAGAGGCGATGCCAACCAGACTTTCTCCGAAATAGGCCATGAGTAGTTCTTCCTTTCCATTGACCCCTCGCAATTGATTGCAATATTTCTTGAGATGAGCAATAGGATCACTGTGCCCATCGTACTTCTCAAATTTTGGGGATTTGAATCCCAATGGTAAGTGAACATGAGGGAACATGCATAAATTAATATAGGACACACTTTTCTGCTCACTCAAACCTTGTATGTTCTTGAGGCTTTGTCCTATACTCCTCATCTTCTTCGCAATCTCTTCTTGCTCAGGAGTTTTGGTAGTCTTTTCTTGCCCCGCAGTGAACTCAAATTGAGGTGACTGAGGATAAGTATAAGTGGGAAACTGAGGAGGTTCCATCTGAAAGGTGGGTGTTTGGAAGGTGAAAGCTGAGGGGTCAAAACTGTGCCTAGGCAGTGTAGGCTGTATCGTGGTCGAGCATGGGGAGCGGTAAAGATATTTGAAGCTGCACCAGATATGAACACCTGGGGGCAAACCTCAGAAGGCGTTCCCACAAAATGAGCTGAGATAGTCGGATGTCCTAGTGGGGTATTTGGGTGACTGATTGGAACATTGGAAGTACCACCTAATCTAGGAAAAAGTTCAGGGAATCCCGGGATTGCGCTTGGTGGTTCTCTTCCATTTGCCCAAGCGTCCCACATTTCCATAACCCGAAGACGCAGGATTCTATTCTCTTCGGTAGCTGCCGATTCTGATATCGGGATGCCCAATATTGGGCTATCATCCGCGATGGGAATTGTTGGTAGAGTCATTTCTGAAGACAATCCGATGCTCCCCTTTGATCTAGTAAAGTATGGGTGCGAAGCTAGGTTACCACAAAAACCAACCACCGTTTTATAAAAAACCTGGACTGAATAATAGCAACAAACGGTTAGTTTGAAACAAATAACAGATAGGTAGTCGCACGTTGGGGTGTGATGCACCTATATAATTTAAATGTGTTTCTACATGTTTTGCAAAGGCTGCATGTTCTTTTTATCAACTTTTCTTCTTTTGGCTATTCTTTCTCTTCTCTCTCTCTCCTTTTTTTTCTTTGGGTTATGATCGAATCCTATGTAGATTGCCTACGTATCATGACCCCGCATGAATCAGACCAAGCGTAGTTCTGGGGGCGATAAAATATAAAAATAAATAACAAAATATTTTGGGATTTTCAATTTTTCATGAGAAGGAAATACTTTGGATTACAACAATTCAAAACTAAAAGACTCAAAAAGGAAAACAACAGACTCCACTAACACGATGACAATACAGACTCACGAACTGACTTAACAGACTCTGATAGAAAGAAAAATATAGAATCGAAAATAAACTAATAGACTTCAAAAGAAAAGAAATATACAAACTCCAGTAAAATCAAGAATACATTAATGCTCGTGGTGCCCGCGGGACGTCATTCGGTCTCGCCGCGGGCCTAAATGCGAGATCCCCTTGCAGTCGCTCCAAATCACTCATAACTTGGCGGACGAAAGTCATTACTGCAGCGAAAAAGGTGGTACGAGTCATGTTCTCGCATGCTTAGCACTTTATGGTAATGTAATCAGCGATGGTTCTGATCCTCTCTCTAATTCTACCCTTTTCCTGAAGCAACCTCCCTATTTGCTGATTCCGGGCTTCTAATATTTGAGAGTCATGAAGGTGTTGATTTTGCAACTGCTGCATTCCTTCCTCCATTTGAGCCATCAGATCATAACAGTGCTCCCTGTCAGCTTTGAAATCTTTAGCCTGCTTGGCTGCTTCATTCTCTAGAGTGGTGGCCTTTCTTCTTAGGCTAGTGATGGTCCCTTCATAGTTCCTCTTCATTTGTTGCACAAACCGTGCCCGCTCTTCTGCCTTCTTTGTCCATTGTGCCCGAATTTTTGCTAGACTAGCTTCAGACTTTTTCAGGTCTTCTTGACACTCGAGGGATTTCTTTTTCAGACCGCTTATAAGTCTTTCATCAGCCCGACTTCTTTCTTGGTTTCTGGCAGCTATTTTCATCTTCCGGATCTGAGCTTTGAGGGCCTCATTTTCCTGACTTAGTTTTTTTTCTCCCTCGTCTACGGCGGCTTGAACACCATTTTCAAACTGAAGCTCCATGACTCGCCTTTCTAACTGGCTTATTTTGGACCTGTACTCGTTTTATTTGGTCAACCAGTCTCATTGCACCTGTGCCCCATCGGTGAACTGTTGGACATGGGGTCGCTTTACGGGCCTTTCGAGAATCTGCAACCTTTTGCCGAACCAGACAAGGTACTTAGGATCCACTTCACCTCTAGGTAGATCTCGCACCATGGTCTTAGGTTCAAGAAACCTACATTCATTCCATATCTGGCGAATTTTCCCTTCTGGAAATGCGACTTTTGGGCCCAGTTCAATGAGATGTTTACTCAAATCTTCATCATTAGGGACGGTTTGAAATCTTCCCAATTGGCGTAAAACCCTGAAGGGAGCATAGGGCTGGATATTCCGGATGCCCATCAAGAGGATATAACACACTTCAGCTGACATGTACACTGCTTCGGTGAAAGGAAGCCATCCGAATGCCCACTCAATTTTATCAGCAGTCAAGGATCTCAAATGTGTAAGCCAAGATTCAGTACCCTCAGGGAATTCAATACCTGCCACTCGGCTTCCAAATTCTTCAATGCAGCTCAAACCGGTCAAACCGTAATTCATATACCCAACCC